CTAAAGGTCTGATCCACAAGGCAGTGGAGCATCGTAAGGAGATGCAGTCCCATGGTAGCCAGTGACCAACAGTAGGTTCATACGCCATTTATTCCCTCAGGATCCTGGAGCCCATGTGCACCATTGGTTTGGAATCAGGAGTTTCCAACTCTTCTAGGTGGACTCTCCGTGTCCACCAACCCGGTTAAGGCGCCGGACATTCGCTTTTCGTTTTTTTAATTTCGTAAACAATACCCCAGCCACGAGAAGGCAGTGAGTAGGACTTCCCTGGCAGAGGCTATATACGCGTGTCCGTGTGAGAGCATTTCGATAGGGAGAGCAGACTTTACCCACTCTCGGTCGTACCAGGGCATTTGGGGGCATATTCGCACACTAATGCAGATCGGATAACAGATAGAGTTGGCTATGTCTTTAGAAAGTCTTAATATCGGTGTTTGTTGCCTATCCAAGATAGGTATTCAAGACTCCAGTGAAAGCTTGTTTCACGTGCGTTTATCCGGGGAACCTGTGGCATCTTCGTCCGGTTTTACTGGCACTGGTGTCGCACTAAGCGCTATAGCCGAGGCAGCACTAATCGACTGGGCCCCCATTAACAGTCGGTTATGTGCTGTTCTATTAGAAAGTTCCATCAAAAGAAGAAGAAATCAGTGTGAGAAACGATGTCTTCTCGTCATCTCCGCCTATGCACTGGCAGATTGCAGCCCGGATGCAATCAAGGATGAGTTTTAACACCAAATAACAGTTCTTCTACAGAAATTGCATTCGACAGATAATGTAGTACTAGCCGGAGATCTGAAGGCTCAGGTCGGGCGTCTAGACACAGAGGAGAGTCGTTTAGGAGGTCAATGGGGACTTGTTGGTCGCAGGTCAGATAATGCGGACCGCCTACTGCAACAGTGCATAGACCATAACTTGTTTCTGGCTAGCACTAACTGCCGGCACAGTCATCGCCGATGTGCCACCTGGCATCCTCCTTCTACATCTCAAACCTGGACTCAGATTGATCACATCACAATCAGCTACCGCTGGCGTGGTTGCGTATAAGACTGCAGCTCCTTTTGGGGAGTAACTATCTGAACTCTGATCATGCCCTTGTTTGCGCCAATCTTACCTTACTTTTCAGTAGCCAACAAATTCATCGTCCTGAACGGACTGATGTCAGTAAATTGGTTGCAGCTTCTGTTACAACTAAATATCAAATCGAGCTAGGTTCTAGGCTAGCTAACATCCCACCGAAAAGTATGGATGAGCATTGGCTGCAATTGCACGACGCCATGAAAATGGCGAGTAAAGTCGAATGCGGCTTCGCGAAACGTCCAGCTTATAAGCAATTGGTTTCTTTTGGCTCCTTACAACACATCGAAGCCCATCGGTCTACTCCGGATGACCGTGAGTTTGACCACAAACGAAGACTGTTACGTAAGGAAATTGGGCAAAGCTTGCGTGAGCACTGAGAAGCCTGGTGGTCGGTGCGTGCTAATGATCTGGAAGCAGCAGCTACATCTAGTAACTACCGGAAGCTCTTCCAACTCATTCGAGCTGCTAGCAGCAAAAGTCTAGTGTGAGCGAAACAATCTGTGAAGATGACGGGATGCCAATCACTAACATCAAACGACGTCGTGGACGATGGGCGGAGTTTGTCGAGGAGCAGTGGTCTACTGCCCCGACAACATCGACCAGACTGTCCTACTCTCCATGGCCGGTGACGACTGATCCACCAAATGATGCAGAAGTCCACGAGAAATTCCAACTTTTGGAGCTCTACGAATCATCGGGTCCAGATGAACTCTGGCCCTTTTTAAAGATGATGGAGACCTTCTGGTTCAGGAACTGACGACGTTGTTTACAAAGGTTTGGGAGTTAGAGCATGTTCCAAGATCATGGAATGAGTCGAGAGTTTTCTCTATCTTCATAAAGGGTTCACGTCGTTCCTGTAACAACTATCGGGGGATAAGTCTACTTCCGATTTGGTCCAAACTATTGGCTTCCGTCATACTTCGTAGGTTGTTCAAAACCCGAGAAAGATTGAGTCGCGAGAAGCAGGCTGGTTTTCGTTCTGGCCGAGGATGTATTGATCATATCTTCACCCTCCGCCAAATGTTAGAACACCGCCATACTTATCACAAACAAACAATCTTAGTGTTTCTTGACATCAGGGCTGCCTTCGATTCGTTGGACAGCACTGCTCTCTGGGATTGTTTATTGAAGAAGGGTGTGTCTGAGGATCCGAGTAACGTCATGAAATCCCTATATACAAACACCTCAGGTAGAGTGAGGGCATACAACTACCTCTCTCTACTGTTCCATTCAAACGGTGGGGCTAGACAGGCTTACCAAATCTCACCATTCCTCTTCAACTTTGCCATCGATGACATTCCGGAAACAGCTCTGATGGATGTAAGCAATGGTGGTGTGAATCTGTTGCCTGGAGAAAGACTTCTCGGCCTTGGGGATCCTGCTGTAATCTTCTTTTACTTTCTTCATAAAAAGTGACCGTAACTTCTTTAACTGAAAGAACTTTTTCTGGTCGTACATTTCTGTTTACCCTATTATTAATATTATTTCACTACCATACACTGATTTGTGGTCGCTTTTGTTCTTCTTTTTTCTTTTTACACGCACCTTACATTCTTTATCTCTTCCCATTCTCATTATTATTGTGTGGCGCATAGGTATTTGGTACCCCGTTGTACCAATATTTAGGTGTTCAAATGAAAAAAATAGGTTTTGAAAAAAGGTTTGTTGCGAAGTGGCATGTTTGAAGAATAATTATTTGTAAATACAAATTCAATTTTGTCTTTTGAAACATAAAGTATTGGATTTAGCGAATGCATTTGTCATGAGTTCATGTCAGTTCAAATCTATTTCTATTATCGTAATAATGCACTCAGTCACATCAATAAAGTGAACTTTGAAATCGAAGACACTTAGCAGATTAAGTAATTTTTCATATTAGCTTTCTATCATTAACACAAGTATGAGGTACATGTGTATCTCAGAAAGAGTAGACAAAAAAATAAATAAAATATCGTCTCAGTTACTGCATTTATTTTACCATGTAACGGTGTGAAGTATGCACAATAAAATCCAAGAAATCGTTATGCTTAACAAGTCTCGAGATTAATTAAACACCTTGGGATGATCACACAGTTCAACGTCGATTTAAAGCAAATAATATTAACACGTCATTTGTAAACAATACAAAATAAAAGGATATCATTGTTTAAATATTAATTCAACCACAGTTTCATTAAATTTAACGGGCTCAAGCATTAGCTTAAATTGTCTTGAAGAAGTGATTGCAACAATGATCATTATGTGTTACAGATTTCAATACGTGAAGCTTTTAATTAGTCGCCTATTTTTCACTACTGGTTCACATTTCTAATGATGTGGATGTATATTAATTGATGACGCTGAACCAAGGTCATTTTACAGAATGACTTCAATAAAGTTGTTTTTATGGAGGAGCAGTTTAATAAACGAGTTCCGGACTGTTGAAATGAATAAATATTCTGCTGATCGATAAATCAAATCAGTGATAAGAAGTGATCGGGTGACGGCCACTCATATGATCAGGTTATAGACTCAAACTCCCGAATGTAAAGATGTTAGAAATAAGACTATTTATTAGTCAGTAGAATAATTGTTTTCGTAAGATGACATGCTTAGATGCTAATTATTAAATAAAAGAATAAATATGATTGACTCAAAGGTCAGGGATTATAAGATAGGAATCTCGTAGACTACTCTATTGTAAATGAAATTACGACCTGAATATAAAATTTAGTGCTAATTCCACACATTAGTTGTCTAACAAGAGCCACTGGATTGTAGTGAGTGATATAACAAATTAAAGTGATCGTGGCCATTAAATCTCAAGTCTAACTTCGTGCAAAGTTCAGAGTAAAAACCGCTGCTAGAACAAAGCACTTATGTAAGGCTTCCTAGTTCCTAATGGTTCACTAGCCCATAAGAGTATCATGCAATATTCAGTAGGTCACGTTAATAGGAATAAGACCAAAAGCAGCAAATTTATTATCTGAGGGTGCAATGGTTCTGTTGAGTAAACTTGGGGGAGTAGCAGTAGTAAAGTGTTTCATATAGTTGACGTGAAACAATCCCAAGCATTCTGTATCTTTCAAAGTCAAGAGTGAAATATCATTGGTGGTATCTTATACCTCGATAGTACCTTGTTAATCTTTAGCTGTACTTCTCATGTCTTCAATTCGTATGAAATTAATTCTTATCTCCAGCTTCATAACTTATTGACTTCAAACTCTTGTCGTGCTGATGCGAGGTGTGGCATTCTGAAGCAATACATATTCAAACTAGGTACTACATTGAAAATAAACAAATTTATTAAAAAAAGGTCTATTTTGTGGAAATTATTAAAGAGGCGATCCTCGCAGTTTTAGTGGGAACTCATGGTCATTGGAGTTTAATTATATCGGCAGTGAAATAACTACCTATCAGTATGATCTGATGATGATTAGCACAATATCATGTATGGCTTGAAATCAAAAATGTAAAAACTCGGACACCAACTCAGTGATCTAAAGGTTAAGCGCTTGCTGTGAAACCTGAATATCTTCGGTTCATCCCAATGTGGTTGTGATTGTACGAGATTAGTACGTGATATAAACTGGCAAAAGAACAAAATACTTTTAGGCACCAGCTGACTGGAAAGTGATACGATTAAAAATATTTCCTCTAAAGATTTCTTTTCTCATCATGAAGTAGCATCAAAAAGACAGATGGTCTTTACTTATCTAAACACCTATTTCAATAAAACCAAACCGCTCGCTATCTCCCCGCTTAAAATCAATAAAATAATACAAAACATAAAATTCTAACATCCAACGTCACTAAAACACTCGAAACGAATTTATTTTAATGTTTGATAAGTTTTGAAAAAGTAGGTCAAAAGAATAGAATACTTATGACATACATTGAAGTAGGAATATATATATATATAACGAGCATGAATAAACCAACACTCACTTTCTCATTGTCACATAAGCTAACTGATCATTACATTTACGATCGACTGCTGTACTTATTGCTACAGCACGTTCACGAGCAATATACTGACCAATATTGTATGCAAATTTGTGATGACCGAAATTGACGCTCACATGGCAATTGGGACAGGCGAAAGCAATACAAGGATAGACTGGATGTGGCTGAATACAGAAAGAAATGTGATGTATCGGAGGTAAGATTAAAACAATAAGGTGTGATTTAAAAAGATACATATTTAACCATCTTTTTAATATATATGTACACATGTATATATTCATATGTGGAGAGAGTTAAAGGATCAACATTTTTTCAAATTGACGTTCATTTCATCAGTTAGGTGATATTTTTCCAGATAAATTGGTTGAGTACATATAATCTTTAATGTCTTAATAATATATCCAACTAAGTGACTTTTGAACTATAGTCGGTTGGAATTATGAGGCTGGTTCTGTGTGCAAATTACCATTTTCGTAATTTTGTTGAATATTACAGATAAGCGTACTGATGATCATGTTGATATATTGACTAACAACCTAAATATTCGTGTACTCTGCTTTGAGCTAAAAATGATATTGTGTCCCCCTAAACCGAAGTACATGGAGTGAGGCTCAAACTCACGACTCAGTTTTTCGAAGTCGAACACTTTAACCAACAAGTCACGGGGCACCAATAAGTATGATAAGCCATATTATGTATGAAAGACAATAATTTCCTTCTTATATAACTAGATACCAAGGTTTCTACAGATCATAAATTTAAATTTATAATGGAGAGAAGCGACTAAACTATTGCTTAAGTTGTTTACTGGGGCTTCTCGATAGCTAATTAGCTTAAAACTATGTTTGTAGAAATTTGAGTTTTACGCACAATTCACACGATATCGGAATGGTTCATAAAAACAATCGATATTAAGTAGACCATGATGAAACAAACACTAAATATTTTGTTTCTACTTAGCTAAAAAAACTATATATGTATCATCCAACGGGGCATAAAGCTGCACCACACCTCACAACTGAAACGATCAGAACCGGTGTTGTTTGCCTGATTACTGTTGATTAACAAGATAATAAACCGTAATAATGTATAACTACTACTACATATCACTGGGTGAACGTTAGCTGTTCGACTAGCAAAACTGTAATATATAAAATAAAACCAAATTTTGTCCAGGTAAAGCCTACTAGAAAGCATAAATGATTCTCAGAGAACTGTAGCCATAATAATAGGAATTAACATCTATCACTAGAGATAAAAGAAACAGGTGTAATAATTCACTATGAGAGAAATATTACACGTCAGTGTACACAAAGAGTGAAGTAATCAACTTGAAATATTAACAACATGACAGTGAAATCGTTGCTTCTTAACTTGCCATAGAATATTATTCTCGAACAAGTATGCTATTACGGTGTGACTGACTGATAAAACTGATGAAATGACTAAGATGGCTACATGAATGATCGGCTTTCGAGACCCAAATTCAAATCTCAAGCGAAGTCAACATGAACCAGAATCACTGGCATCTGTGATCTCAACGCAGGATCCAGAAAAAGACCACCAGTTAGTATAGTATGGCCTAAAGTATCTTATCTCGGTCAAACGGGGTTATATCCCGACCATCATTTAATCTCACTGGTATGTAAATTTTAAATTGTTATATTCCATAGAACACAGCTCCTTGAAAAATCCGCTAGTCACTAATGAGCCCAGGATTATCACTAAGTTATGTTGTTTTATGAAAATGTTAAGTTTGATCATCTATGGGATCTCTGATATGCACTACTGAAAAGTTCCTACACTAAGAACAGATGTTAATTGATCTTCGGTTTTAAGATAAGTAATAACTGATATCTCTACTAATCGAACACTTGCTATTAACTTCATAGCCACTTTCTATACTCCCACACTACTACTAAACTTAAACCAAATGGTAAAGAAAAGATGTGAAGTAAGAATAGAAGCCTTAATTCAAGGTTAATTTATGCACAGAAAACAAGTTTATTTATTGGTTTGCAAGTAGTCGTAACTGTCTAGAAGCTTCTGAAATACAGCAAAATAAGTAATTGTCTAATTAGGATGCAACAAATTAGCAGTAACTTATAGATATGTCTGTTCGGTGTTAACTGGAAGAAGCGTTTTAAGCCTTTTCTGGGCTTCTAGAAATTTTATCGATATAATCTTGGGGACTCGCAACAATGACCACGTAAAATAATCAATGAGAATTTTTAAGATCAAGATTTTCTATTTTTAGCAGCTTAAAAAAAGAAACCAATAATGATGGAACGACCCTAATTAAGATGAACAAAAACGATGCCTGAAATAAGTCACTTGAGCCGAAATGATATGACATTGACTTGGTCAGACCTGTTTTTGGTTGATAGCACCAAATATTCTTACTTTGTTCTTTTATACTATTTAAACTTGATTTAATTTTGTTTGTTGACTTATTCTCTGAAGAAGTGACTTACAATAAGTCACGAAACGTCAGAATATTTAAAAAGTTAATTTTTTTACTCATTGGAATATTACAAATACATTATCTTTATTAATAGCAATCTCCTCAATGCTCAATTTGTTTGAAATTATCAAGTCAGACTTTGGTAATGACACCCAAAAAAACATGAGGTTAATAGACATTACAGTACTAATATGTGTAAGACTTAGAGGAAGATACTGTTTATGTGTCTTTCAGCGTGGGAGATTAGTTATTATTGTTTCGAAGAAACACGTTGAGTGCACATAGATTCACTCACGAACTTATAAAGTAACGTCTCATTTATAGACACTTAAAATGGTTTACATTGAATTAAGCGTATTGTATTTGAGATTAAGAATCATAGCAATATTTAGTTGATTAACCAAAACAATTAAATATGAGCCATAAATGTTAATATTCTACTATGTTACATTAAAAAGATCAAATTAATACACAGACTAACACAAGAAATAGAACATCATGATTTGACACTTATTAATGAATATAAAATCACTTAAATTCAAATAGGTGGTTTGTTAGAAATTTACTGGAGAGGTTCCACTGCTCGAAAATTTGTTTCTGTAATAAAGATCGGAAGGATAAAGTAGAGGAGAGTGGAGGTGAATAATTTAATAATTAAGATGAGGGCACACCAATGTCATTCATGGAATGCTTATTGGACTATAATAATTATACACTAAATAACAGATATTATTTACACTGAGAAAATCGTAAACTTAATCTCATAAATAAGAAACCATTATCCTCCAAAAATTCATTTTTTATAAAACATAAAACTCACCAACTTTTTACCAGCACTTATTGGTCCAACGAATACACCATTTTTTGTGAAAAAAACAGAATTATTAACAAAATTCACACCGCAACCAATTATATCCGATTCACCAAAACTAGGCGCAGAAATGGGTAGTTCTTTGGAATTATGATAAATTGTTCCGCTATTACTGTGGTAACCATACGATGTAAATTCCATCCCTGTAATTATTATTATTGTTTATTTAATATTGAATTAGTAGAATCGAAAAAGAGAACAGAAAGAAAAACAGATATAAAGCTATTTTATTTCCCCTTTGTTAATGAATAAAGATTAACTAAAATATATTTACACAGCATCTTTCAGATTATGAAGGTGAGGGACATGTGTTAGAATACCACAGTGAGCATCAGCTTCAATAAGACTATAGGTACTCCTTGTATATGATTGGGAGCTAGCACGAAATACAGGACTAGGGTGTCATGCTGACTACCTAGCTCCAACCACCTAACACTGAAACATAGTGAACGCGATATCAAGTCACTTAGGCTAGGAGCCATATTGCAAATTGATCGATATAATTGGATTAAAACTAAAGGATTAAGGATAAATATGACATTGACCACCACAACTTGAACAGGCAATTGTAAACACAATATTCTGCTTATGTATAGTGAAAATAAACACATAATTAATAAAAACCATGTCCACACAATATTAACCAATTCAATATACCATAGCATAGTTGATAAAGAAGAGCCTATTTTCGCTAAAAAATACTTGCATAGAGAAATGTACTGATATTATATCCTAAGGAATTAGTACTAATTGTTTAAACAAGTGGTAATGGTATCCTCACAAAGCTGAAAGCAGACATCTGGTTCCTCAGATATATCAATGAATAGAGAGGGTTTATATCCGGGACTTCAAGGGACCAAACAAAGGATAAACATAATGTCGATACCAGATCCTACATGAAGACTTGCAAGTTGATCTCCTATAGAAGTTATCCTTTATATTTTAAGCATGCCAGTGGCATCAAACAAATCATGATAATTCAGTAAATAAAACATAATTAACTGGTTTGATAAACATTTTTTCACGAATACAAGTATAATGAATAAGAACGAAATCATCTCTGTGTTATTTTATTCCCACTTTGTTTATTCATACCCCAAAAAGTCGTAGTTTCTGTTGAAAATTCGATTATACCATAAAGTTTTATATCGATAAGTGGTTGTTTTCAAAGAGCTGTCACTCAGTGTAGAATCTCGTACATCTATTCTGAAAGCACACGTGCCAATTAAACTTCCTACCTTCAGCATTTGCACTTTGAAGTTAATCGGACAATAGACACGTTTACCGAAGACACTAAAAATGTCTTTTGGATAACAAATACTAATGTTAAAGATTTTAGTGACGTACAGAGAATTCATCATCAATCTGTCACCTGGGAGAGAATTCTCCAAGTACGTTTACTATTAAACCGAGTGAAATATCTTCCGTGTTCACTATAGAGCCAAAGTCAGAAGACTCCTCAATGTATTTAGCTAAGATCCGATGGTATTATACCTAGTAGCTGACAATTTAGAATATGAAATAGACCAATATTAAAGGCCACCTTTAAGCTGGATGGTACCAGGCTGATGATAAGTTGTTTGTCCACCCATTAACCAAAATGTTTATTTGGAAAACCAAAATATCAGTAAATTTTAGCCAATAACGAATAAGCTTTGATCTCCATTAGTCTACAGTTCGAGTATTAAAAAGGGAACGACTATAGTCCAAGCAACAAGATTATTCTACAACTGTACATAGTTTAAATGACTCAGAGTTAAGCTAATCACATCATCGATGAATTATTGCCATTATAACAAAGAATGTATACATAATCTCGACAAACAAAAACACAAAAGTTACACTTCCGCTCTAACATAAAACTTTTAGAAACGGTTAAACAATTGTTTCATTAATCAATAATCCACGACACATTATTTATTGTTATACTTTTCCCTCTCCCTCTATCTCTTGCTATTGTTATACATGGCTAGATACACCATTCAGCTTTTCTTCCCACTATAAAGCAATAAATATTATATTCAATACTTACTTACTTAAGCATGTTATTTCTCGTGAAGGAGCATAGGCCGCTCACTAGCATTCTCCATCCAACCCTCTCCTGGGCAATCCTTTTCAGTTCTTTGCAGTTGTTATTCATTCTTTCCATATGTGCTATTTTCTGATGTAATGTGTTCTTTGGCCTTCCTCTTTTCCGCTTCCCTTCAGGATTCCAAGTTAAGGCTTGCCTCGTGATGCAGTTTGGTGATTTGCGTAATATATGTCCTATCCATTTCCATCGTCTTTTCCTAATTTCGTCGTCAGCTGGATTGTTCTCCCTCACAGAAGGCTGTTACTGATGGTATCAGGTCAATGGATGTTGAGTATCTTGCGTAGACAACCATCTATAAATACTTGCACCATCTTGATGATGGTTGTAGTAGTTCTCCAAGTTCCAGCTCCGTACAGTAGAACTGTCTCAACGTCTGTAATAATGACTCTGCGTTTGATATGGGTTTACAGTTATTTTTGGTTCCATATGCTCTTCAAGTGAAGGAATGTGACCCTTGCTTTGCCAATCCTCGCCTTTACATCTGCATCTGAACCTCCTTGTTCATCGATGATGCTTCCCAGGTATGTGGCGGATTCTACATCTTCCAGAGTTTCGCCATCAAGAGTGATTGGATCGCTGTTCTGCGTTTTGAATTTGAGGACCTTGGTTTTCCCCTTGTGTATGTTGAGGCCTACTGATATAGAGACTGCTGTTACATGGCTGTCTTTATCTGAATTTGTTCGTGTGTATGCGATAGGAGAGCTAGGTCATCTGCACAGTCCAAATCGTCTAGTTGGTTTTGAGCTGTCCATTGTATTCCGTGTTTTCCTTCAGATGTCGAGGTCTTCATAATCCAGTCGGCAACCAAAAGAAAGAGGAAAGGAGAGGGTAGACAGCCTTGTCTGACTCCGGTCCTTACTTGGGATGCGTCTATCAGCTGTCCTCCATGCACTACTTTGCACTGTAGTCCGTCGTATAAGTTCCGGATAGTGTTGACAATCTTCTCAGGAACTCCGTAGTGTCGAAGAAGTTTCCATAACGTTCTCCTATCTACACCGTCAAATGCCTTTTCATAATCAATAAAGTTGATGTATAGTGATAAGTTCCACTCAACTGATTGTTCGACGATGATCCGTAGTGTTGCAATTTGGTCTGCGCACGACCGATCCTTAGGGAATCCAGCTTGTTGATCTCAAAGTTGGGCGTCTACTGCATCTTTCATCCGGTTCAGCAACACTCTGTTAAAGACTTTTCCTGGTACTGACAGTAGTGTAATGCCTCTGTAGTTTTCACATTTGCTCACATCTCCTTTCTTTGGAATCTTGATGAGGTATCCTTCTTTCCAGTCCACCGGCACTTGTTCCTCCTCCCAAATCTTTTTGAATAGAAGGTGAAGCATGTTTTGCAGTTACTTCGATGTCCGACTTCAGTGCATCAGCTGGTATGTTGTCGGGTCCTGTTGATTTCCCGCTCTTGATTTGTCCGATGGCTATTTTAATTGGTGGATTGACATCTATAGGAAGACCTGTGTGTGCTGCTTCGATGTCCGGTGGATTCATTGGAGCCGGCCTATTCAGGAGTTCCACGAAGTATTCTACCCATCTGTTCCGTTGTTGTTGAATTTCAGTGATTGGCCTGCCTTATTTGTCCTTGACCGGTCTCTCTGGTTTACTGTATTTCCCTGTTAGTTTCTTCGTTGTATCGTAAAGCTGGTTCATATTTCTTTCTCTTGCAGCTTTTTCTGCCGTCGATGCTAGTTGTTCCACGTACTTTTTGTCGACTGTAATGCTCTTCTTCACTTGCTTGTTTGCTTCTATGTACTCAGCTTGTGTTTGGACTTTCTCTGTTCGTGTTCGGATGTTGTTAATTACTATCTTCCTATTCTTCCTATTTTTCATCCTGTCCAGTGTTTCTATACAGATCCATTCTTTATGATGATGTTTCTTCAGGCCCAGAACCTCTTGACACGTTGGAGTTAATGCTTCTTTGATACCTTTCTAGTTGTCCTCCATAGAAGTTTCTTCTCCCTTCAGTAGATCCTGTAAAGTTTGCAACCTGTTGTTGAGAGCTATCTTGAATTCATTGAGTCTGTCAGTATCTCGAAGGAAGGCTGTATTGAACCTCTGTAGTGCTGTTTGTCCAGTTGTCCAGTTCTTCATTAGCTTCAGTTTTAGATTGGCCACAACTAGGTGATGATCTGAAGCTACATCAGCTCCTCTCCTGCTTCTCACATCTTCCATTGCCCTTCGGAACTTTTTATTGATGCAAATATGATCTATCTGGTTCTCTGTGGTGTGGTCCGATGAGATCCATGTAGCTTTGTGTATACGTTTGTGTGGTAGTATTGTGCCTCCTATGATCAACTTGTTGAATGCACACAGATTTGCAAATCTTTCCCCATTTCCGTTTCTCTCACCCAGTCAATCCATGTCGTCCCATGATATCTTCATATACGGTGTTGTCTATTCCGACTTTGGCGGTTAGATCTCCCATCAGGATGGTGAGGTCCTTTCTTGGGCACTTCTCTATGATTGATTGCAGCCTCTCAAAGAATTGATCTTTAATGTCGTCGTTGCTATCATTGGTGGGTGCATAACATTGGATAATATTCATCGTGATCCTCTCCTTCTTTGTTTTGAATGATGGTTTGATGATTCTGGGTCCGTGAGATTCCCATCCTACAAGTGCATTTTGTGCTACTTTGAACAGCATTAGAGCAACTCCCTGAGTGTGTGGAGCATTTTCCTCTTCGTGACCGGAGTATAGCAGCATCTCTCCCGTATTTAGTCTTTGTTGTTCAGCTTGGGTCCAATGGGTTTCGTTGATTCGCAGTACTGCCAAGTTTTATCTCCTCATTTCCGTTGCTGTTTGACTGGTCTTCCAGGTCTCCCACATTGTTCGCACGTTCCATGTACCTATAAAAATCGTTACTGTGGTTGTTAGAAGGGGCATCGGCCTCGTGGCTTCCGAAGGAATTCGGCTTTCAACATGAGGCGTCATATTTATTCTAAATGAAGACCTTCTCACTCCCAGGGTAGAGTTTAAATGGTTTGAATTATTTCCTCTGGTTAGGGTTTTTTAGCGAGTTAGTTTTCTACGGGATGGGGCTGCTAACCCCATGCCCAACCCTCCTTCTTTAGCCGTACTTAGGAACTGCAGTAACTCTAGAAGAGCTACAGGCAGAGTTTTATATTCAATAAAGAAATATTTTTAGCCACAATACACTTTAGTATAAAAATAGACATTTGTCGTACCAATATTGCTACAATAAAAAAAGAGAACAAAGCACGTTTATTTGATTGTTGTTTTATTATTCCCACACCGTTCATATTGATCAATTGTAGTAAACTAATAAACTCATCTGACATAATGATACTGTTCATACATTTATTTTCTTACCATTATATCAAAACAATAACCAAAAATAAAGTAAAAATCAATACATTGAAAAGGAAGTAAACTGAACATAAAAAAGAGAATAAGATCAATGAATCGATAATTTACCTGGCCATTCATTTGTAGATGAACGTGATGAACATACACCCAAAGCAAGTAAACTGAGGTAGAGGAAGATAGTATAATGAAAAAGGAGAGTAAATAGAATAAAAATTGAGTAAATGACAATAGTATCATTACTAATAATATGAATAGTAGCAATAAATATGATGTACGTAAGTAAATATAGATTCTACTATATATAGTGTAACAAAAAATTGGTACAATTATTTAAATACTAAAGTAAAAGTGAACCTAGCTGTTAGGCTATAAGCTGATAATTATTAGGAGAAAGTGATGACTAATTGTTCAAAAAGATTAAGATAACTCGCTCACAATATACTTGAGTATAAGCCACACTTTAAATGTGAGGATTAATGATATTATACAGTAGTCAAAACTGGAGTAAATGGAATGGAGTTTGAACCTGGAGAGTTGCATGCTCTAACCGATAAGCCACCGATCAAAAGAGTGGTATAAATACTGTCTGGCATTAAGTCACAAATAATTTTAGTCGTAAGAAATACATAGCAAGACATTCAGTTGTATTTCAGTATATTCTAGTAACTAAAGTACCAACAGTTACAGAAAACACTTCACATTTCGATTAAACATATAACTTATAAGATTAACAGATAGAGAAATTAGTGGGATATTGATTACGAAGAGGAATTAGATTGATGACTATTGTTCCAGATTTTTGGGATGAGGATAGACCACTACTCCATCTTTCTTTGAGAGAATGTCATTAACTATTTCATAATTCCAGTTTCTTCGGTGGGTCTGAACACCTGACTCATAACCTGATGGGACGGTCTTTTACGTTCCGTTGGCCTTTGTTGTCCATCATTGCATGAACTTTTAATCAGTCCACTTTCAGATTTTATTTTTTCATCACGTTTGAAATCTGCTGAGATGAGTTTCCAACTACTTCCGATGATAGCTTCAGAAATCTACTTTCATGTATTCACGAAAAATACTCTTGATATCCTTATCTTAGGACTAAGCTATAGGGATTTCGATCAGATTAGTTTATTTTATGTACGAAATCAATCCCACACCTATTTGCAATTGATTGATCACTGTGTGGTGATCAATGTCATGTATGCCATGTCCTTCTTAGTGCCAAGCGAATTCTATCGACCCAGTTACACTGTGACCACCAGTCTAGGTGGTCACATAGACTGGGTCTTACTGGACGTAGGAAAGACGCTGTCATCTTACGAAAACAATTATTCTACTGACTAATAAATAGTCTTATTTCTAACATCTTTACATTCGGGAGTTTGAGTCTATAACCTGATCATATGAGTGGCCGTCACCCGATCACTTCTTATCACTGATTTGATTTATCGATCAGCAGTATATTTATCCGTTTTAACAGTCCGGAACTCGTTTATTAAACTGCTCCTCCATAAAAACAACTTTATTGAAGTCATTCTGTAAAATGACCTTGGTTCAGCGTCATCAATTAATATACATCCACATCATTAGAAATGTGAACCAGTAGTGAAAAATAGGCGACTAATTAAAAGCTTCACGTATTGAAATCTGTAACACATAATGATCATTGTTGCAATCACTTCTTCAAGACAATTTAAGCTAATGCTTGAGCCCGTTAAATTTAATGAAACTGTGGTTGAATTAATATTTAAACAATGATATCCTTTTATTTTGTATTGTTCTGTCTGTTGCAGCTATGCTCAGATAACCGCCTGTTTCTTGCAAACACTAACTTTAAGCATAAGGAAAAACATATTTTTACATGGTGACCCCCTAATTCGTCCCAACGTTGGACCCAAATAGATCACATCGCTATCAGCTACTGATGGAGGGGCTCGATAGCAGACTGTCGCTTGTTCTGGAGCACACGCCTAGATTCAGATAATGCTCTAGTGAGAACGCGTATTTTTCTGAATCTTACTGGACGTAGGAAAGACGCTGCAAGTAAACCTCTCAGGGTTCTACTTAGTGATACCCAAGCTAAGGATATGTTTCACGAACAACTAGAAAAACAGTTAGGCAGCCATGTAAGTGGTGCCCACCCCGAGGCAGCGTGGAACGATATCCGAAAAGCTATGAAAACAGCAGTGATATCTGTTAGTAAGGTAAACCATAAGGTTAGGGAGAAATACTGGATCTCAACAGTATCTACCGCACTGATAGATGTTCGAAAACTCATCCTATCTGGCTATGAACATGACGAAGAGTGGAGTCAGCTTGAGCGCAGGCTGATAACAAGCCTACGCAATGATGGAGAACAGTGGTGGGTAGCGACAGCAAAAGAGATGGAAAAGGCAGAGGCAATGGGTAACAGCAGACAACTGTTCAGACTTTTCAAGGAAACCGGTATTAGGAACCCGACTGTTAGCGAAACTATCTCCGAAAAAGATGGACATATTATTCATTCTCAATCCAGGAAAGCAGAGCACTTTAGGGATCGATTCAACTGACTATAGCCATACTTCAGTTTCCCAATTGTTAGGAAACTGGTACTAGGTAAGGATGGCAAATCAATTGATGAAGTAGTGAAACTTCATCAGTTGAGATGGCTGGGACACGTGTTACGTATGTCCAACCACCGATTGCCCCGACAAGCGATGTTTTAAGATGTAGGAGTAGGTTGGAAGAAAGCTAGGGGCGGCCAGACTAAAACATGGCACAAATCCATGAAGTCACTGACAAGTAGACTGAGCCATGTTCGTAGGTGAAGATTAACTGGTTGGGATCCACGAAACGATAGCAACCGACAGCTAGAGACCTTGAATGACATGGCTCAAAAGCGTCCTCCCAAATCCTAATTTTTTGAATTTTTCATGTCCCTTTTATATCTCTTTCACAGTTTATTTCACCGGATTATACTCCTTGAATAACATCTTCAAACCCTAATGTTCCTGAATACTGCTTATACTTTTACTATCTCTACCACAATGGGATTTGATTCGACAATCGTATCTTTGTGCCAATGTGGTATGGCAACTTGAATCGATGTACGTACATACGAAGTTCTACGTTGTTGCCGACTGACTGAGATATGTATTGCAGATTTATTGTTTAAATCGTATTGTTTTTCAAGGGAATATCATCAATAGAAACTCCAAGAAATAAATATTATGTAAATATCTTTGCATGAATAAAAAAAAGAAAAATACTGGCGGAGATGAAAAAATCTTATAAATACTAAGATCTGAATCAACCAGAAAATCATAGACAATGTAGGACCTGGTACGAATTTGCATCAGTCCAAGTTGCTATATTTTATACCAAGCACAGCAAGAGAGGAAAGTAACAAGAGAGATAAAGTGTGAATGCAACTGTACCACTAAAACCGACATTGAACTATGTTCTACGTCAATAGATCTGAAAAATAATATATCACTATAAGAAAACTAAGGAAATTCCAGTAGGGTGGAAGAAATCGAGGATCAGATGAATCAAGAATGTCACCAGTCTATGATGAAGTTATTGATTGAGTCAGGTTGCCGGATGCAAACTACCTGGTTGGGATTTGTATTTATTTTATTTACTTATATGAACATATGAATATTGGTACAAAGGGGTACCGAATACATATGCGCCACATAAGTCACTTGGTTTGTGTGTGGGCATGATACTGCCCGGATTCCTAGATCGAAGCAAGTGGTTTTCTTAGGGGCCACATCTAGAGCCTTCGACCTAAAGGTTTGATCTACAAAGCAGTGGAGCAACGTCGGAAGATGCAGTCCCATGGTAGCCAGTGACCAACGATTGGTTCATACGCCATTTGTTCCTTCAGGATTCTGGAGCCCATGTGCACCATTGGTTTGGAATCAGGGTTTCCCAACTCTTCTAAGTGGACTCTCCGTGTCCACCGACCCGGTTAAGGCGCCGGACATTCGCTTTTCGTTCTCTCAATTTCGTAAACAACATCCCTGCCAAGAGAAGGCAGTGAGTAGGACTTCCATGGTAGTGGCTGCATACACGTGGCCACGTGAGAGCATTTCGAAAGGGAGGGCTGACTGACTCTCCCCACCCTCGGCCGTACCAGGGTATTTGGGGACAAAGCGGTGTGTGTCGGCCGGGAATCGGACCCGGCCAGCCCGCGTGGCAGGCGAGCATTGTGCTATTGAACCACCGACGCCCAAAGTATGTGCCGGAGGTGGGATTCGAACACACGCCCACATCGTGGACCAGAACACCCGGAAGGCGCCTTAGATTGCCCGGCCACTCCGATGTGTTATAACCACGATCAACGATTGGAGACTTCGATAGCATGCCCAGAATCTTTTATAGTAGTCTAGGACACATTCGCTCTTCATCTTCCGATAGACTTTGGACTCTAGTATCCGTTTATACATACCATTCCACTAGGTCTTTTTGAACAATATTCCGAATTCATTTTTGTATTGGTTGTTTGAATCTTTCCACTGATGTTGAGGACTGCGGTCGATTAGTCTCTCGTTGACATATATGCATTCTAAGAGGATTTCTTTGAGTCACAAGCATTATAAGCAGAGATGGATGGTGGCTAGTAGTGGAATCCAGGACGCTCGTTTCGTCCTATTTAGGGCTCCTCAACTGATTGTACCTGCATCCCAGAGCTGACGTTCACTCCGGGACAGGTACTGGGTCCGAGCCTCGGAGTTAACATCAACTCTGGAATGCAGCTACAGTTAGTTGACGAGTCCCAAATAAGACAAAACGCGCGGCTTATATCCCACTGCTAGCCACCATCTGTTGTAACTGTGGACTGCAGATTAGATGCGCAGCGAATTATCGATCGGATTAATGATAAGTAAAACACGTAAGAACAACCTAGAGTCCCGATTGGTCCTGCTTCCCTGTCTAGCCCAGCCAGTTGAGTCCAGAACGCAAGTTTCAGCCTCGGAGATATGAATCGTTATATTTCAAACATACTCTGTTTATATACCAATCAAGCAGACCGCATCGTACCATAAAATAGAAAACAACATTTGTACAATATTTGACAAGTGAAATAAACATTGGCCAATAGGAAATGTCCATTTAAAGTTCAATGACACCATTAGACTTAACAGGATAATTATTGGTATATTTTTCTGAATACCCCAACACCAACCATCTCTGCCTATAATATTCCGAATGTTTAGTCTTTCTAATTATTATTGCTACTGAGTTATTTTGATCTATTTTGTTATTCATCTTATTATTTTTAGCTTTTCGTGCTAATGTGGCATGGTAACTTGAACCAGTGCACGATTGTGCTAGGGTCTACGTTGATGATTGACTGACTGGAAAAGCTCGGCTAAGTTTTGCGAACCTTAGTCATTTGTGGCATAGGCGAGGTGTCTGTCTGCCAACGTTGATGCGACTATAGTGAGCATCAATTCACTTTGTTTTAATTCATCGCTGTGAAATATTACCTCATAAAGACAGAGCCTTCTAATCAGAATAAATGAAAACACCACTCCGTTTTCGTCAGTTCGGGTTGCTAACCAGTATCACTAACTCTCACACAAAGGCGTGTGGCTTAAAGCCGAGTACATAGATCTGCAATTAGTGAGTTACACTATTATTAGACCATTATAACTGACAGCATAAAACCCCAGTCAGTCAGTCATCAACAACGTAGAACTTCGTACGTACGTACATCAGTTTGAGTTGCCATACCACATTAGTACAGAGATGCAATTATCGATTCAAATCCCGTAATGGTAGAGGTAGTAAAATTATAAGCATAAAACCTAGTATAAACTACCAGTTAAACCTCGATAAAAATAGGAAGTGCTTCTTTCATAGTAATGAAATCGAATCTACCATAATGTAAACGACATATTCAGTTATGCAAGAGACGAACAAAGATAAATATTATGAGAATTAGCAAAATTATACTACTCGTTCGACCGATCGCCTAGTTGAACACCGATGAAAATAAGACATATAATGAACATTTTCTCTAACATCTTATTTCCAAAAGGAAAACGCCACTGCGCTGTATACACAAAGTTAACGATGTAACTTAAAACGTATCAGTAGTTGGTCTGATTAACTGTGAGAATGTTAACACTTGTGCCACAGGTGTGTAGAAAAAAACAAATTAGACTGGATATGACTAGAAATTTGTTACTATTAAACACAATTATTTAAGAAATATATATGGTGATGGATATTAAGTGTACTCACCCAGAACGACTTTTAACATTAACGGTTATCTCGAAATAATAAACGCTACATGAAACTGGAATTGGGTGATCAGCTTTTATAACCACAGGTAAAACAGTTTGATGTACATGTGATCTCATGTCTATATATGATAAAAATTAAAAAAACAAAATGAGTATATATAAGACTGAAAATTATATATGTGACTGATATGGTTATATGAAGTTTCTAATTATATCAGCAAGCGTTGATTTTATTACAAAATATATAGGTTTACTGAATAATCATACATCGGTATCATCGTTAAGGATATTTTTCTAAAAACAGTGCCGATAGCGTAAGATTACAGATCACAAGGTAACCAAAATAAAAATTACATATGCACCTTGAAGAAAAAACTTATGTACATTGATAAATCGGTCAGTTAGTCAATTACAAAGCAGAACCTGTATGTATGTACATCGGTTTAATTTGCTATACCTCATTAGCACGGAAAGATGAAGATAATAGACAGGAAGCTCTGAAATGAAATATCGTGGTAGCTGAAACATCCCACCCAGGTGTATCTGTAACCTTGAAGGAACTGGTGCTTTCCCTGGGATTCTAATCAGTCTACTTAAAACCTATTGATTTCCGATATTTTTAAATATGTTTATTCACATTATGATATTTATACATTATAAAACAAATATTTCTTTTAGGCTTATTCTTACTTCGTTATGTATACGTGACAAACGATAAACATGTTTTCGATTTCCTAGAGTTTCACAACAAAACAATATACGGTTAAACCGACATTACTAGTTCAGAGAATAGTTTAAATAAGAACCAGGCGTTAGAGCAGACATATTAGGAGTTATGGCTAATCTCGCACAACAGGCTTAATGACTATTAAAAAAGAGGTATCACTTCAAAAGGTTGCCAACGGATAAAAGCAACGACTAGAAAACGTCCGCTTAGTTCGCTTTCTAGATGTGTATACCTCGAAATATTAAATAAAATTCACTAACAACTTAAAAATCATTCGATATCAGCGGAGCGTAGTTACCATAATTAGTATCAATAAAAAAAACAAAGTAACAGTGGCAGCAATGATAGATTGCCAGAAAGATATGGAAATAAATGAAAAGTGAAACCGAGAACAAAACGCATAAAGTTATAAAACATTTACGGCTACTAAAATGATCTTACGTCAGTGTAATTTATTTTGGAACATTTCTTACGATTTCCAACTCATTATTACGTTCGTTTCGTGGAATGCAAACAGTAAACATGTGTCTCTAAAAGGCTCATACAAAGGATAAATAAACTTATGAACTTAGACCACATCTCTAGGTAGATGGTGAAATATCAACAAGAGTTTATTAGATTTTAAAAATTCGGTAAAAAGGAAATTCACATAAACATTAATGGACAAACGTATCGTCAGTCAATGTACTCTGTACTAATGTAAAATTTTGATAAATGACTATTATAAGGAAGGTAACGATATTCAACAATTCATACATTTTGACCACACTTTGGAAAACCACTAGAAGAACAAATTTGATGTTAGACCCAAGTAAGTCGCATAATGAGCTTATAGCTGTAAAATAAGCAATTTTGTCCATACAATGAGTGTCAGTTATAATCAACATAGAGCCTAGCACTTACAACTTGAATGCAATAGACTGTCAGATTACTTATCTCAATACTCGCTGTCAAATTTTAGGAACAGGGAGTATACATCAATAAGTAAGACTATGGAACCCTCAAGATAAGTTACTAAAAATTACTTACACATTCTAAGGCTATCTACTCACAAAAAACTGGCAAAGGCAACGATAGGATCAAATATCTATAAAAGCCGAGTAAACTATAAGGAAAAAGGAAACTAGCTAAGTAACTTATCGAAATGGTATTAATTTCCAGTCTGAAATAGTTGATGGTTCCTGAAAATCTATGCTAGTGACAGATGTCGATAGTTTCTGACAGGTTTTGGACGGACTTACCTATCACAATGACCAAAACAAAGTTGAGCGGTTAAAATTCCTATTATTTGAGATCCTGCTGCCATATCATGAAGTCATGTTGAAGAATAATACGATTAGGAGCAGCTATACACTCATAGTGTGAATAATTACAGTGATGGAGTCAGGCGGTAAGATTGTTCAATTAGTTGTGAAAAGATATGACGGAAATGTGTTATTTATGGGTCGACGGTTTTAATTGCACAGTATCTCAAATTTAGAAAAATAACCAGAAATTAACAATCCTATGAACAAAGTATTTTAAATTGTTGTGAATCTTTCTTAAAATGATAGGATGTACGGTAATGGAACCAAGCGATAAAAACCAGTGTTTCGAAAGTGGTTGTATCTTGCATTATTTCGTCACATAATATCACTGATCAATGTTTGCATGGACCACGAAATGTCAGACACCCAGATTTAGTAGTTGGAACGCATTACAGACCTACATACTACCAAAACAGTAGGATCGTAAAATTAAGAACCTAACTAATCTCAAACAAATCCAAGTATGGTTATCACCTTAAAATTCAGTCCGATGTCCCATGACAAAATTTAAGGACTCGTTGACCATTCTATGTAGACCATGATGTACAAGAAATTCTTTAATTATTCTTGCTTGTTTCTATTGGAATATTCAATGAATAGACAAAATATCTGCGAAAGATGGATTAGTGACACTTATCAGATGGCAGAACGAACAGTGTGAGGAACATTTCAAACCCACTTTGGTCATATCTTACCATAAAAAAACCATGGCCTGAATGAAGTTGGAGATAGACAAATAAAGTTTAATTACTATCAGTCAATTGTCCCAGGCAAAATTCTTCCGGGACATTAGTCGTTATCATATGTAAAATTAACAGGGTATGGCAGTAGTTCTTGAAACTACTGATTATAAATGTGGGTCGTACATTAAACTGTAAACATGAACCTTCGAGATAAGAAGTAGAATTTAGGTATGATCATTTAAGTCAATAACAGTAATACACACAAACAAACAAATGGGATATAATCGAAGTTATTTCTTTTGATCTGTTTACTTCATTTTTGAAGTGGTAGCTTAGTAGCTAGAGTGCTAGGTTTTAAACTAATCGAACCTAAAGTCAAACTCAGCCCCATTTTATTCTGTTCGGACAACTGGTTAGTATCGTTAACTAATACAAACGGTATGGCATAAACCTGAGCATATAAATCTATACTTGGCACATGGGTTACATTATGACATACTCTATTTCTCTTTACGTCAACCTGGTATTTTATATCTATTTATTCATCATAGTGGTACAGCAACGGGATATCAAACAAAAGTTTGTGTACTGTGCTACAGATCACTTCTATGAATTAACAGTATGGCCTAACAGTCAAAATCTTCATAGATTGAGCGGAATTGTAACTTTTAACCGAGTGGCAAGAAATATTTTGAGTAACAGATTAGAGCTTCACTGAAGTTAGTTTATCATTCTTTAAAAAGATGCCGCGACATTAATAACCCTATCAAATACTTATGCTTCCGTGTTTCCACTGAATTATTGTTAATAATTGTTTCATTGACGTTAACAGTATAGGAACTGATGGGAACGTTAACAAGTTCAAATTTTGTGTGGAGAAATAATGATTTTATTTCGTGGAATTTTAAAACAACTTGCAAGTAAGCAAGCCCTAACTTACTGAGCCTAATCTAAATTATTTTCTGTCGTAGAGTTTAAACTTAAATCATTATTTTACAAGGGTAATGCTTTTAGTCTCCCATTTAGTTGGTAGCTCTTCTTTAGTAATAATGTTACAATATATCTGAAATTCAATTACGTATTATTACTTTTTGTCATGATTTTTGACTTATTTTCGTTCTTGTTTATTACTAGGCGAGCCCTATCTATTACCGCGGTCCATCCAGTGTATCTGCCGACCACTTTCACCCTAGGTGAAAATAGTTGACTTCAGGTTCACATGGAGTTCATCAACAACACATGGACGTTTAAGAACATCCACCAATTTACCCAGCAAATAATTCAGTATTATCGACGATATTTACCGTTTTCTTGCTTTCTAGTTTTTTTTATTGACCCTTAACTGTTGATTTTAGCAATAAGCGCTTTTCTAATAACCTGACTAAAGATTTTTTCTGGTACTTAACATAATTATTCAAGGCTCTAAGCAACCGATAGTAAACTACGAAAAGAAAAAAAATTGACTATACTTGCTGTACTGAAGTTAACAAAAGAGCTTATGAAATTCTGTGGAATTTTGACGGTCTTTCTCCCATGTAAATGCTTAGTAGATAGTGCAACTTAAAGTTCGAGTAGTACAGACCTAGGGCAATGACATAGTAACAACATATATATTAACATGTCACATTTCCACCCCCAAATTCCCCATCAGAATGAGAACATG